GGAGTGTTAAATATGACAGATGGAATTAGGAAAACAGCATGGTTATGTCTTGGCTTTTAGTCTCTATGCAACCTCAAATAAGGAAGAATTTCATGTGGGCTGAAACGGCAAATGAGATTTGGGAACAAGCAAAATTAACATATTCGGAACTGCGATACTATGCAAAAATCTACCAACTATAGGAAGAATCGTCTACTTGTAAACAGGGGGAGAGGTGTCTATCTGTATATTACTCTAACTTGACTTCTATTTGTAAGGAGTTGGATATCAGAGTGTGGACTGGAAGTGTGATGAAGATGCAAAACTGTACAAAAAACTCGTCTCACAACAGAGAGTGTTTGCTTTCTTACATGGTTTGAACCCTACATATGAATCTACTAGAGTCCAGATCCTCGGTTCTAAGGATCTTCCATCAGTTCAGGAAGTTTATGCTCTTGTACAATCTGAAGAAAGCATAAGGAATTTGATGAACAATTCTGGTGGAGATGCAGTTGTGTTGGCAGCGAAATGGAGTGTTACTACCAGTGGGGGAAATACTTCTAGGAAATGAGATCTTCAAAAAAAAAATGGATGACAAAGATAAATTGTGGTGTACTCATTGCTAGAAACCCTGACACACCAGAGACACATGCTGGGATCTTCATGGAAAGCCGAAATGGGCTCAAGATCTGAATAAGAAGCAAGGTTCGGATATGAATAAAAAGTCAGGATAGCAAAGTACAAGAAAACACACTATGGCAAACATGGCTACTCAGGAGAATCAGCCCCCCATCCATATTGTGACTCAGACACATTCATCTGGTTCTGACCCAAGGGAGGATATTATGAATTCCTTTCGTGACCATTTAGAGCTCTATGGTAGAGGAATTTGTCATATGGATGTTCCTCCATCAACTTCATTTGCGTCTACATCAGATAACTCTGCCATAGCTTTCCATGTTGCTTCTCATACCCTTGACTCTCCCTGAATCATTGATTCTGGAGCGTCAAAACACATGACGAGTACGTCCTCTTACTTCCAAACCTATCACTTTCTTTTTGGAAGAGATAATGTAAGACTAGCAGATGGATCATATGCTTCCATTCTTCCATTCAGCCTTACCCTCTGTGATGTTTTACATGTTCCAAAATTTTCTATTAATTTATTTTTTGTTAGTAGTATTATTAATTCCTTAAACTGCTCAGTGACCTTTTTCCCTTCTTACTGTGTGATCTAGGATCTGGCCTCGAGGAAGATGATTGGTAGAGGACATATGGTTGATGGACTTTACATACTGGAGAATAGGGCTAGTCTTCATGCTACAGAATCTAAGAGTCAGCCCTGTAAGAGTCAAGTTTATTTATGGCATTGTTGCCTTGGTCATTTATCTTTTGAGTCTTTGAAAGTGATGTTTCCAGATCTGTTTAAGTCAGTGTCTGTTTCAGATTTCTCTTGTCAAACATGTCAATTAAGTAAATAGTGTAGAACTCATTTTCTTCCAAAAAATAGTAAATTTGAATTTCCTTTTCACATTGTTCATTCTGATGTGTGGGGCCCTGTTACTTTACCATTTGAGAGTGGTTACAAGTATTTTATTACCATCATTAATGATTATTCTAGATATACATGGGTATATCCCATGCGAACCAGGGAGAAAGTACCAAAAATTATCCAAGATTTTCAATGGATGGTCTACACTCAATTTCAAACTGAAATCCAAATTTTTCAGTCAGATAATTTGAAAGAGTATTTTCATAGTGATCTCACAGAATTTTTTGCATCGCGTGGTTCACTGCATCGTAGCTCTTGTGCCCGAACACCACAACAAAATGGTGTTGCTGAACGAAAGAACCAACATCTCCTTGAAGTGGTGTAGGGTTTATTACTCCATATGAATGTCCCCAAACGTTTTTGGCTTGAGGTTGTCCTTTGTTCTACCTACCTCATTAACCGTATGCCCTTTCGTTGGTTAGAGTGCAAAGCCCCACATTAGCTTCTCTTCCCTAAGGCCTCCCTTCTTTCCATTCCTCCTCGCGTGTTTGGTTGTCGGTGCTTTGTCCAAAATTTGTCTCCCACTCGTTGGAAATTGGATTCTCGTGCTATTCCTTGCATATTCCTGAGTACTCCTTCACTCAGAAGGGATACCGTTGTTTTAATCATATTTCTCGAAAATTCTATGCTTCCGTGGATGTCTCTTTCTTTGGGGGTGAGCCTTTTTTTCCCTGTTTCTCCTCAGGGGGAGTGTAGGAATGAGGAGAAACTAGTTCAGCTCCCTCCTCTTCCTAATTCTCCTCCTTTTCGTGTCTTCGCCTGTCATCACAAAGACCAACCAAATTCAAGAGCTGTGGAGAATCTAGAAGTTGTACTTCCAATGCCATCAAACTCCTCGGGGGCAGATCATACTCACTCAGGTACCTTGGCTCCTAATGATGTCCCTGACCCCATTGCATTTGATACCTCTATTACTAGTGACCTTGACCTTCCTATTGCTCATAGAAAATGTGTTGGATCGTGCACCACTAAACACCCCATTTCCCACTTTGTTTCCTATGAAAACACTTCACCATCTTTTCGTGCATTTCTTACTTCCATTGATAGTGTCCCTATCCCTAAGAATGTGGCAGAAGCTTTTTCAGTACCTGAATGGACAGATGCTATGAAGGAAGAAATTAATGCCCTTCATAAAAATRGCACATGRGAACTTGTAGATCTTCMTAAGGGAAAGGATCCAGTTGGATGTAAATGGGTGTTCATAGTCAAACATAGGGTTGATGGCACGGTGGAGAGGTATAAAGCTCGTTTAGTGGCAAAGGGGTTT